TACATCTAATAATTTGCACACCTTCAACAGTTTATTCGATGTTTCAACTATTTGCGGAAAATATTTGATTGTTGGACGAAACTTTTCTTGCATATCACATAGTAAGAGGAGACTTGATTTAGAAGATTAACGAGTAGTACGATGAACCATTAAGCACCTGGACACCTGTTAAAAGCCTGTCCAAAGCTCTAAATCCTTCGAGCGCGGAGGACTAATAATAAGTTTCTTATTCTTCAACACATGGTCGCAGGACTGTCTTCTATCACCTTACTGCCATTTAAGTTAGTCCTTTGACAGTCTATTTTGTACACCATTTTAACGTTACATTAACGTTACAAAAACGACTCTGCCTTTGCTTGATTTTACTCTTAGAAAATGAATCGTCAACGTATGAAAACAGGTATAGCATGTAAACGATATGATTTTGGTCATCATTCATTCTTAATACCAGTGATCTGAAATTTGTTTGGTTCTTCTGAGTGATAATAACAAATTCGACCGAGCTAACTGACCTAGGTGTGCCAAATCATTTATTGTAAAATTAAGAATACAAAGACTGATCCATATCCTTAACTTAGAGGCAGCAGACACGGTAAAACTCGTATCGAATTCTGCCCTCCATAGTCGTGGTGAAAGTTTGGCTACTCTGATCAGAGGTGCAGAATCTACCCGTGAAATTGAAGAATTTCTCTTTCAGAAAAAGTGTTTCAAAAAATTCCCCGACATAATCCACAAACAGAATTTTTTGCAATATAATAGCAAAAAGAAGTTCCAGTCGTTCAAAAAATTTCCCCGAATCAATAAGTTTTCCCCCGACGACTGTCGGAGCAAACAGGCAGATTCTGCAGCTCTGACTCGGATACTGGTTCTGCTTTAGCGCAGGGTGAGAACACCTGTTTCACTAATAACATAGTGATGAATGCAGCTGTTGTAAACTTCGTACTTTATTTTATTAGTGGTATTTCGACATTAGACGACCATTTTCACATATAAACTAACCGTACGAAAAAATGAAAAGTATCTTTCTTTTTCTTTTTACTAGAATGACTACTTTTACATGTGGATAGAAACGAACAAATTAACCATTCAAAAACTAGGACTGTACCTTCTTTTTATATATGCGTATATATAAAAAAATATATATAATACAGATTACTACGTGTTCCTGCGTGTTATTTGTATCTAGTTCGCCGTTGCTTGCGTGTTGATATGGTACATTCACTACACGCATCAAACTTTTCGTAAATTTCGGAATCCTACAGTTTTCAGAATGACTATGGCCGACTGGGTACTCTACAAAAATCATAGCACCGTTCACTGGTATTTTGAAAAACTGAAACTTACGGAACATAGATAGTTTTGTGTCCTCTACAAAAATGGCCGATTCAGAAAATTTTTGTGAATTGTCTCTGGTTTTCTGATGATTCAGTTTTCAGAAAATCGATCAATAAAAGGCTAAGGGCAACTCCGACGTTCATATTTGGAATCAGCGTCATCAATTACATATAGTCCACCCAGTTTCATTGAAAAAATGATTTGCAATTAGGGACCCTTCCCTCGTAAGAGAAAACTAATATTCCGACGATGATCGATGTATTTGAAAGCCTACATACCGACGAAAGACAGACTTTAAAACAACCGTGGTATCGGGACTCTTTGTATTTTTAGTCTAACACCTAACAGCGCTATCAGATAAGAATGGGAGCGACGTCGAATTGTAGAGAAATGTTGAAGCTATCGAATGAATACCTGGAAGTCGAAATTCCATCAGTCTCCACTCAGAAGGTTTTCAAAGATTCTTCTAGAAAATTTCTCAGGAGCCGCTCCAAACTTTTGATTGGTACATGGATAGATGTCTCCCTCTATTGACAATATGATGGTAAAAGCCGCAAATTGCTAACTCCTTATTCTCGAGTTGTTCACATCCGAGTCACGCGTATGCTATTTTGAAATGGATAGTAGCATTTTTTTTTATCTCTTAGATAGTCTTAAAATGATATGATATTGGTATTTCTAGTAGACGAGTTGTCTATGTTAATGGACCCATTCCATCAACCAAATGCACGACTCAGACCTTTAAAGTTAAAAGCGAATTGTGATTAAAGTACAATCCAATTCTTCATAGATAGCCAATGCAATGTTTCATTCTGAGTACAGAATCATTCCTATTTTTAACAACTTTACCATACTATCAGGGACGCCGCGACAACGGAAGTAGGGGGAGATCCCCTCCCTGCTTTTTGAAATCTTTTACTCCCAAATTCGAAAGTTTTTGCTCTACAAATGAGATCAACAATCAGCATCATTTGGCGTATGCTAATAAAGATAACATGTGAAAACGGAGGGGAAATACTTCCGAGCTCTGATTTAATATTGCATAATAAGCAATTGTTGATTACTCATTATAAATACTCTCGATTTTAAGAGTAAACACCAACACATTTTGTGTTTTTCAATCAATTCCTCAGATCATGATGACGAATCAGTACATTTTATAAATTTAAAGAAGTTTATGTCTTAGGCATAAACTGCGGCTTAATGAAAACAACTAAAACCGTGAAAGCGTATTCGAAAAATCAACAATAGATCCAGAATAATTTAGTTGTTTTTCACGGTTCACTGTCTACAAGTTAGAATAGAAAACCCGTTCGAAAAATGAAAAATATGTTTAGTTTTGTTGCAGAAACTATACCAAAAACTTCAGCGCATGAAGTTTTATGCAACTAAAACGTTTTATCTGTCAAAACTTGCATATTACTAGACAAATTAAATATTAACTCTCATTTTTGAAACTTTTCGATTTACTTCGAAATCGGAGGATCCCCTCCCTGCTTCTTGTACTTCGCGGTGTTCCTGCATACTATTTTGTAGAAACTAAATAAAACTTCTCTTCTCTTTCATATGGACGAAAACACAAACAATATCACGATTAACCATGATAAAAATCAAAAAAATAAATTACACAAATGTGTTTTTCTATAAAATAAATAATCACGTTAAAACAAGGCTTTGGAAAAATTAATTACAACGTTTTCTTTCTGATTTGAACGTATTAAAGAAAAAGAAACAAAGAATAGATGGATAGAAGAATAGAACTACCATCATCATGAAGCTATTACTCCAGTATTCATTTGAAGCAGTCCTGTATCTGCTGCTGGTGTTTTAATATATTGTTGAATTTCTCTGAATTTTGGATGACTAGCATCTTGCGTCAGCTGTAATACAATCGACTCAAACGTTGTTAAAAATGCACCGGCTTGTCGCATATGATCAAACGCATACATTCTAAAATGTAGGAAAGGAGATGGTTTTATGTAATGAATAAAAGTTCCTATAAAGTTGATTACAACGACAGAGATCTACATTTTAAATGATTAAAGTTACGGTGAAATTTATTTTCTTATACAAATGTATGATCAAATGGAAGGTATAAAAGAGGTCCATCGAAGTCAATAAGATTCGAATATATTTTCTTGCTTACCTGTCAACCATTGTTCTCGAGGAAACAGCGTCAACTACGATGTAAACATTGTGTTTTTGCTCTAATAAATCGATGGCTGTCTGTAATACACATGCGTGCGCTTCAATTCCACAGATTATCGCCGTTTTCATATCTAAGTAGACAAAAATGTGTATTTTAGAGTTCATTGTTTACAATAAACTGAAAGACTATATATTCAAGTGTGCAGATAGTCTATTCAATATTATTTGATAATGATCTGTTATTTCACACACACAGATGCATTTATTCTACTTACAATCAGAGGTTTGTGGAGTGAACTGCACTAGTCGTAACGATTACCACTCCGACATGATATGTTATTGTGCATTTAGACATGACCTTTATTTCTTTAGTCAAAATAATAAAAGCAGTAATTAAAAAAAAATTTTAATAGTAATAAACAAGTGATGAACTATTCATCGTTTCAAGGAAGGTCTACACCTTTTGGAGCCCAAAAACGTTCTTATAAAGAACTTCTAGTCAGCAGCATGACCTTGGAAATTATATCTGCATTTACCTTTAGCTTGACTTTTCAAATGATTTGTAACATTGGGTGCACACATGGAAAATAATGTTTTTTCATATGGTTTAACAGTCCCAATCTCCAGTTCACTAACCGTTCGTCCAAGGCCTATGATGAGACATGACATTATTTGGAAAAGTGAATGCAATGACATCTCTCACCTTTTGGATATTGTTCCGTGACAATATAGGGTACATCTAATAATTTGCACACCTTCAACAGTTTATTCGATGTTTCAACTATTTGCGGAAAATATTTGATTGTTGGACGAAACTTTTCTTGCATATCACATAGTAAGAGGAGACTTGATTTAGAAGATAAACGAGCAATACGGTGAGCCATACTTAGTCTGAAAATAGTCCATGTTAACAGTAAACAACTCTTCGTTTGTTTAACTATTCTGTTCATTCGAAATACTATTCTAGTCGATGAACAGTATAAAGCAAACATCGGTTGTTCTTTTGAAACGGGTCTGTAAATTATATAGAAATCGGTTTCTCGAAAGCGAACTAAAATGTTAACAGTGAGAATTAAGCCTCTGGATGGTGGAAGGAGGGTTCTCTCGCGTCCTCTTCATCCATCAAGAAATGTACAAGTTCCAGCTTTTTCGTTTGACAGCCTATTTGTACACCATTTTTGAAACATTAATGTTACAAAAACGATCCTGCCTTAATTTGCTTGATTCTACTCTTAGAAGATGAATCGTCAACATATGAAAACAGGTATAGCGTGTAAAAGATATGATTTTGGTGTATTCATCATTTATTCTTAATACCAGTGACCTGAAATTTGTTTGGTTCGTCTTCTGCTTATCTGAGTGTTAGTAGAAAACTGTTGGTTGGCTTATTTTCTACCATGAATGAAGAGTAATAAACTTCAACAATTCAAGTAGTTCGACTGTGGCTAAATTAAAATTGTAATAAAGAAGAGTTAGAAAATGTTAAATTATTTTACATGAACTGCATTGGTATAAGTAACACTAACTTTTCAATGGGTATAATACGGAGCATTTTCGAATGATTTCGCTTATGTTAGCTTATCGTATCATCTGTTTTTATACGGTGCATTCTTAGAATATAATGTATTATACGACGTGCTATAATATGTCCTTTAATCATTCGTTGTATGACTGTACGCTTCAATTTTTATTAGTTGTATCAAGTAGTTAGTTTTGTGCTACAGTTAGCTAGCTGTAGCACAAAACTAACTACTGCTACTTTCTACTTTCTTATTTCTTATTTCTTTTCCATCTTTTTACTTTAGCGCACCGTTTTAGAAAAATTAACTTGTTGTTTTAAAAATTTTTCTAAAGATTTTATTTATATAAGTTCTATTCACTTCTGTGTTGCAGGAAGTACACGCGTCGTTACATTTTACCGCTCTGGGGTCATATCACGAAAAAACTTAAGTCATCAACTTAAGTTGGAACTTAAGTCTACGTTTAAGACCGACTTAAGTCCGGGGACTTAAACCATATCACGAAAAGACTTAAGTTGGCGATTTGTTTACTTTTGAAAAGTCGTTGACAACAGTGACAAACTTGGGACAAAAACCCGCAAAATAACGAAATATTTATTCTCTAACCCTTAGAATGTCGTTTTCATCGAATTGTGTCGTTAAATGCCTGGGGATCGTATCACAAAAAAATTTAAGTCAAAGGGTGACTTAAGTCATGCGAAATGTAGTCTTAAAGTTAAGGCAGAAAACTTAAGTCGGACTTGAGTCATTGACGCATTTTTTGAATAGATCAGGCATTTAACGATACGATTCGACGAAAACGACATTCTAAGGATTAGAGAATAAATATTTCGTTATTTTGCGGATTTTTGTCCCAAGTTTGTCACTGTTGTCAACAACTTTTCAAAAGTAAACAAATCGCCAATCTAAGCGATTTTCATGATACGGTTTAAGTCCCCGGACTTAAGTCGGTCTTAAACTTTGACGTAAGTTTTTTCGTGATACGATCCCCTGAGCTATTCGAAGAATGCGTCAATGACTTAAGTTTTCGGTCTTAACTCGAAAGCTTTTTTGGGATACGGCTCCCTGTAGAAAGGCACTGCGTTTAATGTAGAACAATTATATTGACCCGTCCTGTATAAGAGATTTCCAAACTTGAGCACAGTTTTGTTTTGCAGTAGAGCAGTCAAATAATTCATTGAAAGGAAGTTTTATCTTTTCTCTATTAAGGTAAATATGAAAGTCGATTTGGAAGACATCAAAATTCTCTTGCAGGAGTTGTTTGAACTGACAGAGTTGTTCGTGCCTTATAACTGCTCTTTCAAGAGAGCGTTATTTGAAAAACTTCTAAATAACAAAAAAATTTAAACTTAGAGAATAAAAGACCTGACTTTCGATTGACAAGTCCACTAAATCTCGTCGAAAAAGGTGGAGGTGGCAGCAAATTCTGCGTGGTTTTTACGCCGGGATCCCGTTTGGGATTTGCCCAAGATCAAAGATAGAGGTATTATGAAAAGAAGAAAAATTAAACATAAAATCATATTTGTATAGTTGGTAGAACTTAAGAGTTAAGCAATCGAAAGGAAACGTATTTAGTTTTAGACTAAATTGTGCGGATGCTTGCTATCCAATGTTTCAGCCTATTCTCTTTAAACTCAAGAAACCAGATTACTATCAATTGTTTTCTATGCAATCTAACTGGAACATCGTTTGTCGTCAAGCGAATATTAAGGATTTCCTTGTCATTTCTTATGGGAAAAAAAAGTATATAGTAAAAAGAAAAATATTCTACTTAAATATAGCATTTTTCACCTCTGTCAGCGATCTACATCTCTGTGTAGCTCGACAACTTTCAATTTGTTGATAACTCATCGAATAATCTGTCGATATGATGTAATAAGAAAGTATTTTTATCCTAATTCAATCTGCATGATGCGAAAGACCGATTTTAAAATTATGCTCTATTACAGTAAAACATGACGTACAGAGAAAATGCTGTTTTACTTGGAAAACGTGTATTTTCTGTTACTCCGAAAGATTCTTTCGCTAGTTTATTTGATCAATAAACTGTAACGTATATACCAGGCGGATGAAGAACTAGTCAGTTTTGTAAACAAAATTCGCTCTAGCATTTTTTTCTTTCCCTGTTTATATTTTCTTTCTTTTTTCTTTTTTCTTTCTTTCTTATTAGTACTTTTGTGTTTCTAGAAGGTCTATTGTATGTTTGGGTATAGTATTTTTTTCTTTATCAGTAAAAAAGCACCCTTTTTTCTTATCGATGTGACATTTTCTCTACCCTTATATTTTTATCGCATAGAAGATAAAAAAAAATATTACGTTGTTTTCTTGTTGTTTTGAAGTATTGAAACTTGAGAATAAAAGAGAACATTTCCCATTTTCCAACTTTTTTCACTATTTTGTCTCTTGTCTCCGATGCAGTGAAAAATGTTCACTATCTATATATTTTTTTTGCGTCATTCTCTGTCAAATTTGTCTGAAGCATAGACATTTACTCTCTCACTAGTTTTCTAGCTAATTCAACAAACGGTGTTATTACACAAGGAAAAGGGTAAAAAAGAACAAAACGACAAAGAAAATATATGAGTCCTTTTTGAGTTTGGTATATATGCATGCAATTTGGTATTGTATGTTTTTCTTTTTTCTCTATAACTAACACGATTTTAAAATAGTTTTTGTAAAAGATTTAACTATTAAAGTATGTGTCATTGATATTAAGTTAATTTAACTTGAATTACTATTTTTTTTCCAAAAAACAACAAACACAGGCACATTGTACATTTTTTTTCTATGCCTAGTAACAATGTATGACTTGCGCTATATATGTGCGAGACAATTGAATTTGTATTCATGTTATGTGATATCTATTACTCATAAAAGCAAAAGATCAATATACATTGTTCTTGTTCGATATTTATAGATAGAAAATAATTAGCTGTAAAATTGTGTTCTGCTTAATCTGTTGCAACAAAAATGGTTGGAGTAAATATTTTTAATTCTCAATCAAAAGAGAATGATCCGTCAAATGATAAAAAAAAATTGGTCGATGGTGATGCGGTTGTTGACGTTGTGGTACGTATATATATATATATATATATATATACGTATATATACAATCTGATATAAACAAATATCAACAAAGAAAATGCTTCATAAATTTGGTTAAACATTTGTACAAGTTAACAGTTTTTTATAAGCAAAGGAGAGATAAAATGATTTTTTCGATATTATTCGAACTTTTATTTCATTTAACAAACAATGAACAAACAGTTTGAGAAAGAAATTGAAAAATGATGGCACAAGTTAGACTAATTACAATAGATTCAAGTTCATTTAGAAAACCGTTTTCTTATTTCTAAACGAACATTGTGTTGTTGATTACTTTAACCTGATTATTTACTTTTTATCTAGGAAATAAAGGACGGTTTAGAAGATTCAACAGTACTCGCAGCTGGTGTTCGTCAACGTAAAAAACAAGCATCAGGTTTATTAATTTGTGTTTCAGTTGTTTTATTGCTTATTTGTATCACAGTTGGTGGCTGGTTACTTTATGATTTTTTTAATCGTACACCACGTGTAAGCATATGGTTGATATGCACAGTGATTTCTGATCAGTTTTAGATAAGCTTTTTCTTTAGAGCTGGCATCGTACATGTAAATATCGTTTAAAACCAACTCAGGTCGATGATGGTGAAATACTTTTTGATCATGGTGGTCTTGTAGCATTTGATGATGGAAATAACCATTTATTACCACCTGTTCTTAAAGACAATAATGATGTACCTAATCCAATCATTAAAGATAATCGAAAAGAATTTCAGCAAGATGTATGTCATGCTTTCTTTTCCCTTTTTAGATTAATGTCAATATGTTTGTGTGAGTTCAAACGATCACTTTTTTTAAGATTATAAAATGAATAAAAAGCTTTATTTTAATGTAATATTGACTAAAATCAATCACTTTCAAGTGTTGTATTTTTTCTTCAGATTAACGTGGATGTAAATAATAATTTGGCAACAATTGATGTACCACCACAACTCGATATTTCAAATCGTATACGAGTTGTGCACGACTTTGAACATGTAAGTACATATTTTTTCTCTGCTTCTACTACACTTCTCTGATTGTTTTATTCATTGTTCAAATTTTAGAATATAACAGCTATACACGATTTTACTCTTGAACAATGTTTTATAACACCATTAGATCGTGAACGTATACCAAATCCAGCTAATCTTATTGATACATTTTTAATGATGATGGTAGGTTTATGGTTGTTCAGTCATATGATTCTACTATGCTATCAGTATGTATATTCAGTATAACGTATATTCTTCTAGTCTGGCAATTTCTTACCAGATAATGAATTAATTCGTAAAACAATGAAGGTTCAAATGCCAGCGTTAACTGATAAACAATTACTCGAAGTTTATGGTCCAGTGGTTGCTGAGGAATGCAATGGAATTAAAGCATATCGTCTTGTTAAAAAAACAGCTGAAGAAGAGAAAATTGGTAAAATTTTCTTGTTAAAATAATACTAAAATCTTTGTTAATTGCTATTTTCTCATGTTTAGCTCGCCAACGTCGTGAAGCTAGACGAAGTCCATATGTCTATTCGGTCGGACGAACAGCATTTGCCGTCGATGTTGATTAATTCAAAATATTAAAAAAACAATCAAAAGAACAATGCCATTCCAATCATATTTTTAATTATATTCTCATTTTCTTCAAAAGAATACTCGCTCATTTTTCAATCTAGCTTTTTTCGGACTCACTCTCAATAATATGATCTGCGTGTTGTTGTAGTTGTGTGCATGTATTTTATAATTCTATTTTTGTTTTGTTTTCTCTAAGAAATAGTTTTTATCCAATTTTAACAACAACTTGTCGTAAAACAGTTTGATGATTTGCGGTTAAGGGTGTGTGCAGATTTCTTTTTTTCTCACATTTTTTATTTCAGTTTATCTTTTTAAAACTTGCTGTACATAATACACGAACTATACTATTTTTTTTTTTGATTACTCACATATTCGACGCTTACACTTGCCTATCTTTGTTGCTTTCTTTTCATAAATAAAAATCTTCTATTGCAAAATTTTGTGTACAAGTTGAATTTTCTGATTTTAAATGACAGGTAAGCATGTGATGTTAGACTAGATTTGTTTGCTATTTGAAGTGCGCTTGTGCATCCTATATCCGTGATACCATACATCGGTGCATGTAATTGTCGCAGGAAGTTTCTGAACTTACAATAGTGCAATAATGTTAAAATCTAATAAAAAAAGTAACATATCCTTTCATTTTAATCAGGAGATATCGTTGAGAGCTAGTCTATTCCGATAACACATAGAACACTAGATAAAATAGATATCAAATGAGTGTCGTAGTCATTTCCATCTTATCAGCCCCCAAATAGAAAAAAGTTGAGATGTAAGAGCACGTAATGTCCTTCAGTTCTATCTAGGAGTGAATGATTTCATTCTTTTTGAATTCAATGGTGTTCAAATGGGTGATCTAATGTACCGAAATTTGAGAAGAATCTTAAGTCTGTAATATAATGAATAGCTTAACGAAATTGTCTAGCTGTATTTCGTATTGTATTTCATCGAACAAGTAGCTTAGTTGTTCGTTCGATGAAATAGTCAAATACTGATTGATAGTGAATGATTCTCTTTTTTTGAAAAATGTCATATTTTTTTATCTTATACTTTTATATATATATATACATACAGGGTTTTCGATTAGGATAGGAAAGTGGAGGATCTTCCTACCCTACATTTTGACACTGTTCGCCAGATTTTTGGAAGTTTTGTTCTGCCTGGAATTTGTCCAATCTTTTTGTGAACACAACACATGTTGCGATTATCTTGCAAGTATTTGATCTAATAAACTGTAAGAGACCGACAGCCATTATCAACAGCTACAAACTACCTGTCAAAATAAGTGGCAGATAGTCCTTCAAAATAGAAGGAAAAAATTTCTCATCCAGGGTGAGCCAAGGAACGAAATATATATTCTGCAAGATGACTTGGATGAGAATGACTCGGACGAAAATTAAATATTGTTTTCATTGAAAAAATAAATTCTGATGCGGAGTAACAAAAATTCTTTTCGATGAACAAACGTTTCACTTGTTTAGAAAAAAATCTGTCCACAGACTTTTCAAAAAGACTGTCCGCCAAAAAAATCTCCCTACCGTAATTAAAAACAATCGGAAATCCTGTATACATATATTATCGTTCGTAGATATCACAGATAGAACAGAATGATTTGTTCAAATTATCGAACAGTTGTTCTTTTCACAAGAGACTTTAACATTCTTTCTGATAAACTTAATGAGATGACGATTAGCGAATGAATACTATCGCGCACATACTACAATGTTATTAGATATATTTATCTGATTAACAGTTTTTTTCATGTATGCATTGTATCTATTATACAAGTAAGAATTAAAATAAAGGAAATTTTAACAGAGGTATTATTTTTTCATCTTGAATCTAAAGAGCTTATTTTTAGTGCATGAATGGAGTGAAAGGATTATTATTAAGGTTATTTTGTTGTGAAAGAGTGTTCTAGAGAACATTCAAGCGTTACAGTTTACTTTTTAATTGAGAAGAGCATAATTGGAAACTAAGAGAACAGCACGAGTAATTGATAACTGCTCAGAGCCCTATGAAGTCATAATTTGTCATGTTTTTGCTCATATTAGAAGATGTCACAATTTTCAGGCATTTAAACTCTATTGAATCTAATCAGAATAGTACTCCATTTTTTGTTTTGTTTGGTAGCGACCTTGGCGTCATTATATCTCGATATCTCATAAACATTGATATAAAACAATACGAATACTAAATCCTTTTTCTTTTCAAATGCCGCATTTGAAATTGTCCACTCGACATTTATTCTTTATCGTTCTCTGAAGAGAAGGAGAGAAAGAGAGAGAGAAACAAAAGAAGAAACCATTGTCCACTGTATGTATACTACAGAAAGAGTATTTGTTGCATGTTTTCTCGTTTGCAAAATAGAAATGGAACATTTTTATACCGTGTGTGACATTGACAACATCAGTAGTAAAAGTGCCAAAACATTCTAACAAAATATTTTTATTCTGTTATTATTTGTCTCATTATACTGGATCCATGTGTGTATGTTGTTGTGTGTGTATAGTAGACACTGTTTTATTTATCACGACTACTAAACGGAATAATTTAACGTTCTATCACAGCAGCTTGTAATTATCAAGGTAGTATTCATTTTTCTTTTCTTTTTTTCTTCTTATTTTATCGTCAGACATATTTGTATTTCTCAATCATGGGTATAGCGTAGTAAAAAGATGAAATAAATAAGTATTCAAGGATAAACGATTGCTGTTTTCTACTATACAAATGTTGATGACACATCTATTCGTAGTAAATAATGAAGAGAAAAAACATATTATATATGCAGAAACTCAACAATTAGTCACATGCAACTACCAATTATTCGTCAATGAGTCAGCTTTGAAATAACAAAAGAAATGACTAAAAATTGTTTTACTGATCATTTTAATCTTACGCCAGAGTGGTAGGTGACACAGAAAATTGAATGATTCCTTCGTTTGAAGATAGAAATCGTATATTAGGTTCTGTCTTGTTCTGCTAGTCGTAGCACATCACAACTATAGACTATTAACTGAAACTTTTAATGCTATTTTGGTACAAAGATGATTATTTTTCTTATTCTACACAGGAATCGTGCTACATCTTCAAATATCTTTCTTTTTCGTAGAAATTTAATTGAAAATATTTACATTTGATATTTAGGGTTTTGGTTAGCATTGATACACGAGAATTGTTGTTGTTGTTAAGATTGTGAATGATATTATGAGTCGACAGAGACAGACAAAGAAACTTTGATCTGAAAGCTCTTCAAACGTAGATACTTTTGAATTTTTGGAAAAGTACTCATGTTCCAAGAGACAAATATTAAAAAATATAAGATCTGCTCTTGAGATGTTACTTCTTTCAGATTGTCAAGTGAAAGAAATATAAATATATGTGTCAGATATTAACTCGAGTACTTTATCGAACATCCCATAAAAGAAAAAGAATAACTTGTCTATATAAAACTGATTTTTTTTTTTCATTCATTTCCGATACATTTCTGCTGTCCAATTTGTTGAATTTTTTTTATATGTGTTAGCTCTACTATCTACCATTTTTAGTTTATTTTCTTATTTTATGTGTGTAATTATAGTATGTTGATCTCGTTTTTAACGAACAATATAGAAAGATAAAAGTGCTTTCATCTATGCAGACTATGTTCCGCACGAAAAAAATAACGAAAGAAAAAGTTTGAAACGTGACTGTTCCATCAGCTGACTAGACAAAAGAACATGAGAAAAAAAACTGTTTTTCTCTTCTTTTTCTTTTCTTTTGTTCTCGTTTATAAACATGTCACAGAAATTCAGAGTAAATGTAAAATTGACTCTGGTAAATCTATTTTTATCTTTACTATCCTTTAGTTTTGAACATAGATTATGAAAAATTGTAATAAATAAGAAAAAAACGTGTTCATTTTCTAATGGAATGTGTATCTGCATGTAGTTAATAGATCAAATACAATAATATAATCTCTCGAAAATTGAACATTAATTGAAAGTAGTATTTTTTGTCCATATTTTCTTTACTATGAAACATCAGTCCTTGTCATGAAAGTGAGCCTATTATGTATTGTTGATTGATGGAGAAAATGCGGGGAGAAGAGCAAGGTCTTACTATTAGTTATAAAAGGAACAAGAAAAAAAAAATGGGAACAACGAGTCATATGGTTAGATTAGTATATATCAATTGCAGAGATAAAAAAAAAAGAAGAGCATGTGATCAATATTGTCATAGTTGCGAGGTAGAATTTGAAAGTGGAATTGATCAAGTTATTTTGATATCTATTTTTAGTGATGTCCTTATGATCTTCATAATATCAAGAGTCCACTTTTTTATACGAATATAGAAGGATTAATGTTATGAACAGTTGTTTTTTTTTTTCGCTTTTGTTTTGCTATGACCTCGGAATAGATTTTCCTCGTTTGTAGTCATATCAGATACAAATGAAGATTCTTTTCAACTTTTTTAGTAAGCCTATAGGAGAAGATAGATATTAGTGAATATTTACGCTGTTTTGACATCATAGAAACTTGAGATAGTTTACTGATTTATTAGTATGATAAGAAAATGTTATTGTACTCTTAGAATAGTATAATAATCACAGCAGTCACTATTTCAATAATCGCTAGTGCAATATAGTTCATATTTATTTATCAAGCATAAAGATCATGTATATAAATAACAACTATCGTTCTCAATTTTCTCAAAATATAGAAACTGACATGTACTTGTCAAAATTATGTTATCGTCTGTCTATGCTTATGCATTATTTTAAGCGTTTTTTTTTTTTTGTTTTTTTATAACACACAGATAATATAGACAATATTTCTTTTTCAGAAAAAAACTGTACAAATAATGGCTGCAACAGCTGTAATCGGACGATCATTTTCTGATGCACTCTATGAACGATATTGTGATTTTGATTCATCATGGGACGATTTAAAAAATGGATGTGATATTGTCTTTTTTGTTGGAACATCACCAAAAAAAACAGGTTCGATAAAAATTAAATAATATTTTACAATTAAAGACTATAAAGTGTTTTTGTGTTTTGTTTTTCTTTTCAGAATCTGGTCTTGTATTAACATCGTCAAGTGTTGTATTAACAGATGAAAAAATCTCTCATGTTGGTGATCCACGCGCAGTTGAACATACCTGTTGTCACGTTGAACTTGTCGATATATCGTCGAATGAATTTTCAGATTGGCAAGAAGTAAATTAAATTTATTAAACTTTTTCATCTTTATGTATATTCAAATAAATTCTTTGGTATTTTTTTAAGATATCTCTTTTACTCAGTTCATTGCCACATGTTAAAAATATCAATATGAGTTTTAATCCATTTCCAACATCATTACATATTCTACCAGATGATATTCAATGGCCTAATTTGAATACATTGTGTCTTAATGGTAGTCGTATACCTTTTGAAATGGTTATTGAACTTTTAAAAAAAACGCCAAAGTAAGTTTATTTTTGTCAATTTTTTTTAATGTTTTTTCTCGTTTGTGTTATTTTAGTTTAGAAGAACTTCAATTATGTGCAAATGGATATAAAACGCTAAAATTTTCCTCAAATGATTTTAAACATTTAAAATTAAAACGTATTTATATTTCAAATAATGAACTGGAAGAATGGATTGATTTATGTCAACTGGGTCTATTATTTCCACAATTAGAAACACTGATAGCAAGTGAAAATCCTTTACAAACATTTTGTTTAAATAATTATCCTGAACAAACGTCCTGGACTGTGATCGATTATTTTCCAAAATTAACAACATTAAGCGTTAATCAAGTACAAATAAAACAATGGGACGATATTATTGAATTAAATCAAATTCCAAATTTAAATACATTAAGAATACACGCAGCACCATTACTCAAAGTAAGATTATTTTTTTAACTATAATTAAATAGTTTTCTATAAATAAAACTAAAATAATTTTAGCCATACAAAAAAGAAGAACGCTTTTTTCTTATTCTTGGTTTTATGCCAAAATTATCTAAATTTAACGGTAGTTATATAACGGCGAATGAGCGTGAAACAAATGAACGAAGATTTATTCGATACTATGCTGAAAGAGATGATAAACCACAAAGGTATTAAATGATTAATTTAATTATTTTATTTTTACTTATTTTTATTACTTCTATTATTATTTGTTTGATATTTTTAGATATTATGATTTAATAAATAAACATGGTCAGTTAAAACCATTGGTTGATATTAAAATTCGTGCACCTTATGCGACAACCGTTACTCTTGTATATAATCAATATTCGATCGAAAAAGAAATTGATTTAAGACAAACTGTTCAACAACTTAAAAAATTATTAGAAACAGAATTTCATGTACCAGCATCTCGAATGAGATTATTTTATGTTGATGAATTGGCCTTTAATATGGGCGTAGGTGGACCCGAAGAACTGAAATATCCACAACGATTACTACATACCTACAATGTACATGATCAAGATAAATTTTTTATTGATCTTAAAAATGATTTAGTATCATCAGCAACAGCAACAACTAAAAAATATTTACTAACAAAGACAAAAAATAGACAAGCAGCGGAAGGTAAGATAGAGAGAAATCTTTTTGAATTCATCTGATTTATATCTTTCTTTATAGAATCAAGTGCACGTCGAAAAATCCTAGATTCACCGTCGAAACAACAATCAGTGGAGAATAATTATCGTCCAGATTCATCATTTTCAACATCATCCGATGATGATAAACAATCCCATCATCAAGGAGAAGAAAATCCATTTTCATTCAGTTATATTCAAAACTTTAATAATGAACAACAACAACAACAGATACAAGAACAATTAATTAAATTAGACGATATCGATCATTTATTACCATCATTGACAACAACGACTTTAATATATGATGATGATTTACTTTCAGCTGCTTGTGCCAGTGTACTAACGACAATGACAAATCCTTCCGAATAACACTTATTGCTTTGCTTTGCTCTTTTGTGCTAGTCCTTCAGATTTTCACAATTTCACCGTCCGATATACACAGTATTTTGTATCTCAATAATAACTCTCTTTTTCTTTTGTAAACATCAATGACAGTAATTGCCTCATACAAATGTATTTATTATCCACATCTTATTTTGGTTTTCTTCGCTTCATTTTGGTTATATATATTTTTTTGTTATAGACTTTTGCTGATTTTTGTGTGGTTTGATTTTAATTTCGCAGCATATATAAGTCAAATTGAATATATGAAGTAGATGAATTCAAATCTCATTTTATAACTAAAATTGAAAAATTATTATAACTAAAATTCTTTTCTCTTCGTCGATCTTTAAAATCTAATATTATTATTTCGATTAAATTGTATTCTGCATAATGATAAACATTATAAAAATAATTTTCAAATACACAAGAAACAACTATGATTTCAAAAAATCAAATTTTCTACATTTTATGAAAATGTGATTATTTTGTCACATATTTTAATGTACTGAATTACTCTATCGGTAAGATGTCGTTTATGGACGGTACTGTTGCTATGTAGTTTAATATCGATAAGAAATCTAAATATTTTAAAAATACTGAATATTCATTGAAGAATAATCTACAGTAACTACTTATAATGAATTTGTATTTTAATCGCAGAGGTTAATTCTACCCGACGAGAAAACGAGCAAATCGATAATGGCGCAAGTGTTTTTTAATGCAAAAGAAACATGGAAGCCGTCATATATTAAAATTAATGAGTTTTTCATATATTTACATAAAAAGAAACCTTAAAATAGTACCGAATAATACGTAACTATACGGGTTACAGAACTAGGACAAATGTGGCAAAAAAATTGCGTCTATTTTTGATCAATAATAAAGAGAGTTGATAATGGATAACACTAAATCTTCAAAAACAAAAGGTGATCGTCATCGTTCATCTTTAACATCAGCATCGAAAATAAAAAAACGCTCATCTGTAACCCACGATCGTGATCATGGTGCTCAAGGAATGGATCAAAGATCTGTTAGAAATGTATATGGCTATTTGGAAAAATTTGAAAAAACAGAATTATGTGAATTATTGGCATCGATTGATTCACACTGGATGTTGAGTATTGACACCTACAAAGTAAGAGTATTTAATATTACTCTCAACGAAGTATAATTTGTTATTCTTTTCTAGGCTCCGACTGAACATCCAAATGGTATAATTCGTAATTTAAGCGCATTCAATGATTCATATTTAGATATTCTTTTTCCGTATGACGAGACAATTCCTCGTCTTGATTGTCGCGAAGTTCATCAGATCTTACGTGAACTTGTTATTGGTATTTATGTATTAAATGAACATCCATCATTGAGTTTAGAAGCAAATGTTGATCAGAGTACATCATGTCAATTACCATCTGCTTATGTTGACACAAGATTAGGACAAATAATGATTAATTCAGACTATTGGATGAAAACATTGTGGCATGGTGTATTCATTACAAGAGAAAAACGTATTAAACTTGGTGAAAGATGGAAACAAAAAATTGCTGGTCTAACACACACAGGTGAACCAATACCAACAAAGCCAGTTTTGTATGAATTTGAAAATTTTGGTAAATGAACCTGTTTTGATTATAATCAAATTTACTACTAGAGTCTTTAAATATGTCGTAGGCATTCAAGATTTAGTAAATGAACCAGATTATGGTAATGCCATTGATAAATATAAACAAGAGCCTCGTTCAGAAGAACAAGCACGTTCCGATGATGAATTTTTTGCTAGTTACGCTGATGATTTATCAATGATGTTAACATTATATATGGAAGATGTTTCTCAATATAATAATTGTGTCATGTTTAAAGGAAATTTTATTATACAATCGACAATCAAGGCCGTACAAGAACGGTAATAAAACTATTAACTAGATGAGAAGATTTTGAAATTTCGAGAATATTCTACATCTATTTTAGCCTTGATAGTAAAAATTTCCAACGATTAAAATCTTTATTACAAGTACATGAAAAATATATTCGAACAAATTATTTGAGTAAAATTGAAGTAGCTCGTTATGTCTATCTTTTACAATTAAGTTGTTTTCTTCTATCAATACTTGTTGGTATGAAAAGACGAATGAAAAAGATACCGGATATGAATAAATTATTACCAATGATTGTTGGTAAGATTTCCATTGTCTTGTATAAAAAGAGATATATTTCTGCTTACCTGTTATCAAATAGGCGATGATGTTCGAACAGAACGCGAATTACCACCACTTATTTACGGTCCAAAATATCAATGTAAAACATTTCCAATTCCGGATGAAAACTTATTTCATTTACATGGCGGAGTTCAATTTGAATATGAAACATCCACAGTGAATGATACTTTGAAAAGGTATTGGACAAAAATTGCTGTATAAAGCATTGATCTAAATTGTTCATATTATTAGTAATTTAGGTTAGTGGGAGATCGTTCATTAGCGGATTTATTAGACAAATCTCGACAACAATTATATTCCTATTTGGAAACATCTAATAGTGCAACTGCTGAATTTCATCTTCCAATTGTTGAAATTGACGGAAAAAAGTAAATAAAGATATTTAATTTCATTTATTTTATAGACAAGTTTATATTATTTTGCGTTTAGATTTTATCATTTTGTGATTGATATTGAACCATATTATGGATCATCACCAATATGGATTAGAATGATTAGTCAACCACTATTGCAGGCAGGAACTAAAAAACTTTTAACAGAAAGTCTTATTTATGAAATATTTAAAAAATATTTTGGAAGAAAAAAAGCAACGAATTGTATGGTAAGTGTATATATTTACTTTTCACTTATTTTGTCTCTAACACTTTAAAAATTTTATTTAGAATCCTGAACATGGTCTTCGTGTCGCTGCTCAACGTGGACTAGCATCAATATTCTATTCTTTTGCTCGTCGAACGGCTCAGTCAGGATTAGCAAAGGCAAACATTCGTGATGGACTAACATTAATGCATTATGCAGTAAGTGAATATACGCGTACCTACTGCTTGAGAGATAAAAAAAAATTTGATATTTTTCCATATTTTAAGGCTGTTTATAATCGTCCGATTATCATTGGGATTCTTATTAATATGGGCGTTGATGTCAATTGTAAACAAGAAGTGAACTATACAGCAACAGGTCACAAAATAACTTTAAGTACTAACTGCTGAATGTCAATAATTTCTTATTTCATTAGGTGGTACACCATTGCATCTTGCTTGTCGACATGGAAGTTTAGATGCTGCATGTTGTCTTCTATCAAACATGGCCGTTATTCAATCGGATCATCAAGGTATAAACTTTTATCAACCATCTAATCAAATATGCTCATTTTTTGACACTTCAGGGTGGACACCAATACATCATGCAGCGTTTTGTGATCATGTTCCAATTTTAAGATTATTATATAATAAAAGCTCTGAATTAATTGAAATACATACAAAAGACAAGTAACAATCGCGATCTAATTCTCTGATTAAATTTTCTTTACATTTATTTGTCATTTTAGTAAAAAATCGACACCGTTATTATTGGCCGCTACTTCTGGTGCCTTGGATTCTGTTGAATGTTTATATAATTTGGGTGCAAACATTGCTTACAAAGATGATGAAGGCAATACGGTTATTCATTTAGCCACCATGTTTCTTCATACAAATATCATTGACTATTTTATACAATTATCGAATCCAAAAGTTCCCACGTGGCAAATTTTAGTCGGTAATATAGATGTGAAATTTTTCTTTTTTATTATCCACTAATTAAATATCTACGTTAAGAATTAATCAGTCATCCAAAAATGGAAATGAAACAAGCCACTGTTCAATGTTTACATCGAATGACAAATAATGATCATGAATATTGGAAACCGTTGTTAGAAACGGGTGGTATTAAACGTTTACTAAAATTATTAACTTTGAAAGATCAATCATTGTTAATATCAACATTATCTGTGTTGTGCAATATATCAACGAACAATGATGTTCGTCAAACGTTAGCATCCGCCGACGATTTACCAACAATATTTGGAAGTTTATTACATTGGCATAATGATGAAATACGTTCAAAAACAACAATATTAATTGCAGACGTTTGTTTTATTCAATCGAATCAAGTATATTATTTTGATGTATTTATTTGATATGTTTATAAGGATGATTTCTGTCTTTGTGTGATAGGAACGTTTTTTAAAATCGGATACAATCAATGGTATTGTTCGAATGCTCGATTCAACATTAGAAGATGTTTTGGTTAATGCTGTTAATGCAATTGATTTATTATGTCGAAATAATCCTGACATGCAAACAGAATTAGCTCACCATGGAGTTGTACAACAATTAACAGAAGTATTAACACTTAATTCAAGTGTGTATCTATTATTTAAATCAATGATTATTTATCTAATTTTTTTCTTTCATTTATTTTTAGAAGTTTTACGAGGAACGGTGGCATCGGCACTAGGTGCATTAACTTATAATCATCCACAAAATCAAAATTTAGCGTGTGATGTGGGTGCAGTAAAATTAATTGTTGATTTAATGCAAGATCGAGAATTTGGAATTCGTTATAAAGCATCAGTAGCTATTGAAGCATTGGCAATAAATAATCAACGAAATCAAAAACAATTATTGAGCAAAGAATTAAATGCTCAGAAACCATTAAATGAACTAATGGAGGTAATATGTTTGATAGTTTTTTTGAAAAAAATATGTAAAACTAATACACTGCTGAGATAGTGGTCGATCCACACAAAAACAAATAATCATACATCACTCAACGCGTGTTTATTTCACATTTGTTTTCAGAAAATGTATTATGTTGCTGCAACAGTAAGTTTAATGTCTAATAATTTGCACAAAATGTGTGGTTATGAATTGCACACAAATACCCACACACTATTCAAGATAAATATTCTCTCACAAAATGCATGAAATGCATATATTTAACCCAAAAGATAAAATTTAACAAACTAACATACTTTTATTGAACCTCATAACTACAATTTTCAGTTTGTTTTTATACAGCACACTTCTTGGCAAATGAACTAAGTGAATAATAATAATAATATTAAAATTATTTTCTTCTTTGATCGTAGTAAACTTGCGTGATTTATAGAAAATTTTGATAATGAAATTGTTTTTTCTCTAAATATATTATAATTTTATCATCAAATTGTTTTGATGATGTTGTACGTATATATTCTCAACTTAAGTGAGAGAAAAGTAGCAGAAAAGCAGCCTTGGGAATTATAGGCATTGTAAGAGCCAGTTCAAGTTTCGAAGACTTGTCCTTTTCTGTAACGAAAAAGCGGGTGTAAAACACATTTATTTAGAACTATATAGTTGTTGAGATGTTTGAGACAATTTTCTCCTCTTTATTCAATAATATTTGTATATACTATAAATCTTACACGGTTATACGGTTTGTCCAGTTAACGGTCTCCATTTTTTGCTCTTTTTGAAAAAATTATTGTAATAAAGCTACAAACTAATCTAAAATTACAACTAGCTGTTTAATCTACTTAATTATCTAGTTGCAATTTTAGATTAGTTTGTAGCTTTATTACAATAATTTTTTCAAAAAGAGCAAAAAATGGAGACCGTTAGCTGAACAAGTCCTATAGTCCATGAATCAAACTACTTGTTTTGCACATAATTTAACATTCTACATAATATCAAGTATATGACATAAAATAATTGTGTAATTTCTTATAGATTCGCAGCTCAGAAGAATGGGCAATGGAAATTCGTGAACAAGCCGCATTTGCTTTGTGGGCAATAGCTGGCAGTGCTAAATCTCAACAACGTTATATTGCCGACTGTATTGGTATTAGTCAAATAATCACTATGCTATTATCAAAATCAGAAAAATTACAATATGTCTCATGTAATGCGATTATTTCATTGACTGATGAACATGAACAAAATCAATATAGAATTTTGAAAGATAATTTATTAGATTCAATGATGAGATTACTAAAATATCCAGCCGTTAATTTATTGTCACATCGAGTGGTATTATCATTGGTTCGAGCATTGGGTGTTATGTGTTTAGGTATCGAATGGATAGCTCCTATGAAAATGATGAATATTTTTTCTGTCTTTTTCTAGGAATCGCTTTATCGACAAATCACGCTGTACAAAATTCAATTGCTGAAAGAGATGGAATCAATTTATTAATTACTATCATGCATCAAACACCATACATCGATGTTAAAGTAAGATAAAATTAACATTGTGTTTCACTGTTAGAATAATCAACATATTGCTTTCTACGAAATACTGATACTGATATTTGACGAAATATTTTTGTTTTAATTACTTAACTGAATTCTAAACCTTGATCATCACAATGAGCACTTGTTAATACAGGTTGAATGTTGTCTGACATTGGCACGTGTTGTATTGAATAATAGTGAAAATCAAGAACAATTATCGTCTATATTCAATGTTGAAGAAATTATGACTTTTTTAGATATTACGGATTCGGTAAGCGATTATATTTGTGTTTATTCGTTTTACTGATTTTCTTTCTATCTGAAAAGGATTTGAAAATGCATGCATTGTTAACCATATCATTGTTTGCTTATAATAACCTTGAAAATCAAGCACGGTTAAAAGAAGCCAATACAATTAGTTATGATGCATTTAAACCATTTATTGAATCAAACAATTTAAGTCATTGTGCATTAGCGTGTTTTCAAGTACGTTTAAATATATTACATCATTTCAAATAATCTTTCATCTTGTTTTGTTCTATTTAGATTGTTGTTCTTGCTCGAATAATAGGTGGCAATCATGATCAAGTGTCTTTGACAGCACTTGGAATTATGAAATTAGCTGATTTACTACTAGAAAATAATCCTAATTTGATAACTCAAACAGGTACATGTATCAGAATGAAAAGGTATAGGAAGACGATACGATATTCTCTCATTTTAGCCAAATACATCGCATCATTGGCACGTACTCGAACGGGAATTAGTGATGGAATGATTGTTTGTAATATACTTGATCGTTTAATCGACAAATTAAATTCAAATTATGATGATGAAACAAGATGCGCATGTGCTGTGGCTATTGGCTATTTAACATACAATAAAACAGCTTTTAGATTATTGTATAATCTATGTAGAAGAGATCCATGTAAGTCGATAAACAATAATCCACTACCTTATATTTGATACCAACTACTATTTGTCTTACAAAGATTTCTAATTTGGATCATGTAGTTCTTGAAAGAGTGCACTGATATATTATCATATTATTATACTAAATTTCAGCTACTACTAGAGAAGAATTTCTGTTTAGAACTTCTTCTCTAGTGGTAGCTGAAATTTAGTATAATATGCCAGTACTACTTCTGAAGTTTCCACATGTTAGACAATCGGAATTCTCTCCATAATTGATCATTTTTCTTACTAGCTTTATTTGACAAAATAATTCAGATTGGCCATCGTTCGTCTGTATCGCCAGAATTCATTCAGTATTTTGAAACTGAACGAGCTCAAGGATTACCAGTAGACAGGTAACATTTTTTATTTATTTTCCTCTCAATAGTATAATAATTTATTTCTTCTTTTCTTATTTAGTTTATCCATACAATTAAGAGTATTAGAACCTCGAGCTCCATCTGGTTAGTATAGTGATCTTTATGAAATTAATTTTCATGAATTTCAGACTCGGTTTTTGTTTTAGCTTTCCGTCGTTCAGCATTGAAATCTAGCACTTCCACTATTACCGATGTCGAACAAGATGTGCATCGATTCCCTCGTATAAAAACAGCCCCCATAGAAAGATTAGATCGTCGATTTGTTCGTCCACATACAACAGCTACTCCAACATTAACAGGAAAAACAATGCCATTGAAAAAACGTACATCAGCTCTGGGATATCCGTCTGTGGCAAGTGCAGGACATACAAGAAAAATCGGATCAATGACTATCTCATCAGCAAAAGCTCACTGAACTACCGTATTAATGCTAAACAATCATTTTTTTTAATATTTGTATTATTTGCTAATCAAATTTTTTTACTTCAATCATTTTTTTATAACCGATTTGATCTTCCTTACTACCTTTAGATAATCTCGGTGGAGCTTATTTTTTTCTTATGCATCTAATCGCTAATTTAAGCATGAGAAATGAGATTTTAAATCTTTTTGTTACGTATAATTTCATTTTCATAATAAAAACATCGTGCCTTCTTCTATTAGCATCTGCTTATAACTGTGCAATCCCTAATTAAAATTACTATTGATCCCTAAAACATATATTCTCTGATTTTTGGCACTAAACATATTGCATGATATTATTAACTATTTTAATGATTTTTTATTAGTCAAATATTAATAGTCATACAGGAATACAAAGTTATAAATGTTATAGAAAAGATTTGCGATTAATGTGATTCATTTTGCATTTATAAGATAGTACAACATGTACATATATCCTCATTTTGAATAGGATGTCTAAATGTTGTTGTATTGCTACAGTCATCTTTAACATAACCTGTCGTTCCATCTGGTTCAGTCTAAAATAAAAATAGAGTTTTAATATTATGTCATGCTCCATTCTCTAAACTAACCACTATATGATGAACATATCCATTTTTTTCTTCTGACATTGTTTTGATCGTGTCAATGATAACCTATTTGTCAAAATAAAAACTACTAACTTTATAAGATAAATTTCATTTTCTATGTATAAATAGACATACCGCACTGGGTTTACGAGACGGTACATCTATATTATCTTCCAATATGTCCATTGAAATATTTGATCGTAATACTGGACGTGAATTACTTCGAGGTTTTTCATCTTCTATGACTGAGGGAATGCAAAATAAAATATGAAAAATGGCAAACAGATAGTTTTTTCATTTTTATATATTTCAAAAACCTTTAAGTCAAAGTATTTAATTTATGTAGATTGACATTCTGAATGAAGACTATGACATCTTAAATTAAAGTTTGTCTCGTTCAAAATGTTCTTACCTGACATTATAGGCTATAAAACAGATTTTCTTTTTAATCGTTACACTATTCATAATAGATGCTAATGTTTGCTGTCTATGACCCAAACATTCAAGCTGTTGCAATTTTTTTCTCCTGGATGTAACAGCTTATTTAAATAAAAATCACTTGAAAGACAATTATATCTTGCTTAAATGGTGAAACAAAAACAAAATTATGTTAATAAATTTTCTTCCATGTGATGGAATCTCACTTTCATAGTTCTAATGTATCTTTTTCTTTTACTTTATCCTAAATTATAGTGAAATAATAAGAACAATGACACTGAATGCCTGAAAAGAATTTATCGATGATATAATTGTACCACTTATTTTATTCGTGATATTTTCGAACTTTGACCCTGAAAACTCTTGTTGCTTGTAAGGAAAAAATATGGTCTAACTTATGGACTAGTCACGTGTCTGGCTATTTTAACATCATTTCTTCAGAAGAACATTTTTATTCCAAAACAATAATACATGTCTTTTTTGACTGACTGCTGCAGAAAATTAGATTTTGGTTATGACTTTTTCCAGTTAGTATACATGTTAAACTAGATCTTAGTCGAACAACGATAATGAATTTTGAAAAAAGTTAACAGATGGCATAGAATAAATGGACATTAACGTATTTGTTGAATAACTTTTTTGTCATTCACAGTCTAGACATAATTCTTCTTTTAAAAGATGCATTCAACAAAACTATTGTATATCTAGTGAGAAAATACTTTTAAAAAGTATTTAAAAACAATTTTTTTTAGCACATATCAATGTAAGATTAAAAATATATATTTCAGTACGTTCAAGTTTATTCTCATTCTTTCCATGTATAATAAATTCGTGTCACACCAATTTTTCTGTTACAAACGGCGATTTTACTTGCACTGACCATAAGAACGAGAAAATTCTGCAATTACTGAATTAGTGAAATGAAATACCCAAAGTTATTGAACTCTTTCTATTTGAATATGTAAGAGGTGCTCTTTTGCTCCAAGATAAGACAAACCAACTTCTAAAAATGTTTGATTTTGGCAGAGAGCTATGTGCACTTTATTTTAAGTGCATCAAAGCGTTGTTCACAACTGATGCTTCTGAAAAAAATTAAAAACAATTTTTTAGGAACGCTGGCTGGTAAATGGAGTTTTTCGAGTTCTACCAGATAACTATCACCCTTTTTCCTTACAGTTCATATGGTAGGTAGCTTTTCACGTTAAAAATGATCTCGATCGAAGCTTCACAGTAATTTTCTTCATTCTATATTTCGCAATGACTCGAAAAACAATGATAGTTTTGTTGAATGCATCTTTTAAAAGGGAAATAGCGTCTTGACTGTGAATAATAAAAATAGTTATTCAACAAATACGTTAATGTTCATTTATTCTATGCCACTTGTTATAACGAGCTAGATATATCGTTCCTGAAGATAATAAATCATGTCTGATAACAAAGACAAATCGCTGAACTTTAGCTTGCGATTAATGACAACAGCTCAGGGTGTGAACAATGCTTGAACACTTTCGTTTTCATAATGGATTTAATATATTAGTGGTTAGTACTAAGTACGAAAAGAACATCGAATAACAAACTTCATCTACTCATTGTTAGAAGATTAATTTTTGTTATACAGGAAAACTCGCTGAATCAATGAAATTCGAACATGTCTGTGACAGAGTTAAAAAGAATCATATTATAAAAAAACATTTTAATTTTAAAAAATAAAATAGACTACACTACTTCAACAATAGAATAAAACGAAACAACAAATAGTTATAAATTGGAAATATGGAAAGACATTTATCAGAGTAAAATATTTCATGCGTTCTTTATTTTACTAGTATGTGTGGTTATCAATATATCATAAATTTGTTTTTCACATTCTGTAAACTTGAGCACTTGAATTTGAACGGACGTCGATTACAATTCATCTTTTGCATTGCTTGGCGATGCGGTGTCGTTCGATACAAGTACGAAGGAGGATTTTGCACCTCTTTTCTTTGAACATTTCTTATTACTTTTGCTGCTTCTTTTTTTATGTTTAGGTTTGTGTGTTATTTCAGCATGTTCTTCAATTTCTTCTTCCGTATTACCTTTGAAATCAAAATGAGATTTTGTGATAACAAATAAGTTCTTCATAAAGAGAGAGAAAGAGAGATCGGCTCACCAGCTTTGCATTCTTCACTACATTCTTGTCTATGTTTTGATGGACACTTCATTCGTTGCATACATTTATCATACGTCAAAAATTGATTTGCTTCACTTTTACCTAATACTGGACATGAATAAAAACGTACATGCTTCAAAAACAGAACTCCCAAGTTACTTGTCAAGATCTCATATTTATCCGTCAAATTGCATGGTCTTTGAAAAATATTGTGGATACTAGATGCAAATACTTACATGCCGCCGCGTCATTTTCTTGTTGATCTTCAACTGTTTCTTCTGATTCTTCGAGGCTTTGTTGTGTGGATGTTCCTGTAGTATCTACTGCACAATGTACAAACGTACTAACACAGGCAATTAACAACAATATTACGACTGTTCTCTGATGTGATTCCTACAAGAATCAGAATCGATAAGTTATTTTTCTTGTTTTGATTAGCCATGTCATATGACTAGAAATATTCGCAAATTAACATCCAGTGTACACCATAGAGCAGAATAGATACGTCAACAATAGATACAAAAAATCCATGAGTTGTTTTTGGAGAGTTCATGAGTAAATCTATTAATTTCGAGATCTGTAGCACGCACATATGCGAATAACGAACTACATCTACCAGATTTCTAATACTATATAGAGATAATGGCAATAATGAGGTGTAACATGTGCAACGCGTGTGCCGTTTAGACTTGTTAAGTCACTGAGTGAAACGAAAGAAGAGTTAATTATCATCATAAAAGGTTTTCGTCGCTTTTCACGTCGGTTTTCTCTATCAAATCAGCTACTCGTTCCCACTAACGTATGGTCGCAGGCATTTGAGAAAAAAATGTTTCGTATGTTCAAGTAGTTTAGTATAGTTCAATGCAGTTTTTCTTCTGATATGTACATAATGACGCTTGGAAAATGATCATAATTTCAAAAACTATAGCACTTTCTGCAGCAAGATAGTAGTAAGTCACCAACTATCGCATAACATGGCAGAAATCGGATCAGTCACAAACTGACCTGAACCAAACAAATCACAGTTGGTCATATTTATACTGAAAAAGCCTTGATTTTGACCTGTTTTTCTACCTTCCCCCTCCTCCCCCTCCAGGTGTATTCATCTTACAATGGTGGTTTATTCATCTTAAAAAGGTTATGTATTCATCATAAAAGTATTCATCGATACTAAAATTAAATTATTATCTCACTTTGAGCCCAAAAAACATCACAAAAAAATATTTATATTTTAGTAAAAAAGTGTGAATAAAGTGAAAAATCCCTAGTTACAATTATCATTTATCTCAAAACAGTTAAAAGTCCCGTACCATCTCTCTATATTACAGTATTAATATAATCTAGCAGTGCTTTACTTGTTAAAAGTGGAAGACCTGCAAAGGAGTTTCACCATTTTAGCCCCAAGAGAGGCTGCCATTCAGTCGATTTTCCAACTTTTGTGGAGACACTGTTGACTTCTAGTTTCTTCTTTCTCTTTCTATCTCTTGGTTATGTTTGTTTGATGTTGTTGATGACCCTCGGTGCTTCATTTAGATAAAAAGTATAGATAGAACGACATTTTCATGAATGATAAACTAACGTGAACCAAAAAAATTATCATAACGACGATTCAATAATGATGCAACAAGTAAAAAAAAGGATTTTATAAATTATTTCCACATCAGCACAAAGTTTTAACGAAAAAATAGTTTCTGAATGGAAAAATATGCTAATATACACAAAATCATCTGATACTTAGCTGTAATGAAAAGTTAAAAACAGTTTTATATGCCGAATTTATCTAAGGAATCAATGGGATAATCATCTATTAGTAGCTAAAAGATATCTAATGCTTAAAAGAATATATTCATTTTTTTAGCGTTACACTAAAAATAAAATATCGTTCGAACTAAATTTTTGTTCTCATTTTAATCGAAAAAATTGCCACTAAAAGAAAATAACAATTACTGCTGAAAATGTATGATTTTTGAATAGTCTATTACGTATGATGGGAAGATATGTATAGATTCGAACCATGGTTCGCCAAATGTTCATCATCTTTACATATGTTCCTCTCTTTCTCTCATTCACGGAGGTCAATGACTTATACAGGTGACTAATATGATTATAAAATATGTGTGTGACAGTGCGTGTACTGCTCCTTAAAGCGTAACGACAAATATCCGCCTGTGTAGAAGGAGTGCACAAAAATAATATTCATTTATTTTTTTTCGCATGAAAAATACTAGCGTAATGTTATGTGCGTCACTGAACTACTACCACTGCACAACAATCAGTTTGACAAAAAGATTATAAAAGAATATTTTCAACTTCTATTCCTCATTCAACATACATTTACAGGTGTTCTTATTATTTTGATGAAAATAACAATTAACCGAAAAGCCAAATAGGAAAAAAAATAGTGAGAGGAAGAGAGAAAAAAAGAAAAAACGAAGAGTAATTTAGGATACAATTTTATATATTTCTTAAAAAATAATTCTGAGTTAGAACATTTGCGTGGCTAGGTATGTATATGATTACTTCACCTATAACTGAGAAATTATCATCAATCTGATCAGTTATTTTTGTTCACTTATACATAGATGTCTAAAAGAACTTTTTGTACTCAAAACCAATGTACTAAAACATATTCTAAATTTAGCGAAAATATATCTATCAATTACATATAATTTATTATTTTAATCATTCTTACTTAATTATTTTCTGTAATTTAGGAAAATTAGTTTTAATTATTAAAAATAGTGTAGATGGGTAAAGATTTTTATGGCGTGTTAGGGATAACACGTGTAGCAACTGAGGATGAAATAAAACGTGCCTATAAACAAAAAGCATTAAAATGTCATCCAGATAAAAGTTGTGAACCAGATGCTGAAAAAAAATTCATGGATATCTCCGAAGCATATGAAATTTTAAGTGATCCGTATAAACGTTCAATATATGATCGTTATGGAAATGAGGGTTTAAAAGATTATACATCATGGAACTATACATTTGATCCACGTGCAACTTATCGAAATTCATTTACAAATGGTAGTACAGGATCAGCATCACCCTTCAGCAACGGAGATGATTATTATGATGGAAATTATTTTGTTAAATACAAAGATCCAACAACGTTCTACGATTTATATGTTACACTTGAAGAAGTGAATAAAGGAGGAGTGAGAAAAATGAAAGTAACTCGCAAAAGATATAATCATGAGTCAAAAACAACTGTAAAAGATGAAAAAGTTCTTGAAATACAAATTAAACCGGGTTGGAAAGAAGGTAAAAGTGTATAAATATCTCAAACATTTTTCTTTTTCAAAAATAGTGTCATTTTATCTGCCGTTATGTAAAAGTGTTAAGTAGTCTTAGACATTTATTCCTTTTTTAGGTACTAAGATCACGTTCGAAGGTGAAGGTGATGAAGGAGATGCTCGTACATTAGCTGGTGATATTGTATTTATAATTCGTGATAAAGTTCATCCAACATTTGAACGTTCAAATTCCGATTTAATTTATCGTGCTAAAGTGACAATAAAACAAGCCCTATTAGGAACAATAGTACAAATACCATTTTTGGACGAAAAAAAAAAGCCGCATCCACTAAAAATACAAGAAATCATCACTCCACAAACAGAAAAACATTTTGTAAATGAAGGACTACCATATCCTAAAGACTCAGCAAAGCGTGGATTATTAATTGTCAAATTTGACATTGTCTTTCCCAAAATATTGAGTGATGAACAGAAAACTCTTGTTGACTGCTGTTTTTCAAACTCAGTTGATTTTTACCAAACTAATGTCATCAATATAGCAATAATCGATGAACAGCAACAGCAGCAGCAGAAGCAGCAACACCAACATCATCAGATGAATAATCATCATCAATCTAATCATCAAACTACTCATCATACACCAGAAAAAAGTCAGAAATCTCAAAATAATCATCGTAATCATACGAATAGTGCAGCACCATCAGCAGTGGTGCAACCTTCTACAACGACTACAAATCATGTGAATGAAACAACGCAGCAACAACAACAACAACCAAAAACGTCTCCTAACCGTCCAAATCCAAATAAACCGTCACCAAATCAGTCAACAATGTCTTCCAGTCAAAATGTTGAACCAGCATCTACCACTATTCCTTCACAATCAAGTCGTTCAACAAATGGAACAACTATACATTCAAACGGAATAAAAAAATCCTCCATCATCAATGAAATGTCCTTCTAGGTGTGCCTTGATAAATATTTTCATGTATAGGTCGTTTCTTTTCCTAATTGCGCTACAATTATTCTCATTAATTTATCGTCAAAATGTCGTTTGTATAGACTTTCTAAGAAAATCAATAAATTACCACTCATCTATATTAAATTATAAGGAAAAGATGATGCTCATTTTTCGTTTTCGAGGTTACTAGACAAGAAAAATATCAAAGTACAAGCAGGAGATACACACATACACAATGTATTATTGTTCTAGGAAGTAAGCGAAAACAAAACAGGTTTGTACAAGTAACATAGATAGAACCGTAATAATCTACTAATCGATGGATATTAGATAATCTCTTCTGGAGGGTAATGATATCTGATGTCTGTTGAGAGTCATAATTCCCACTTATCTACTTAAAACTACTACTACTACTACTACTACTACTACTTACTTAAAAAAATTAATTGTAGTTTGTCAAAAGAACTGAACACATGTATTTCACAAGAAAATCATTGAAACTTTAAAAAATAATAATATTAGTAAGTAAGTGTAAGAGAAATCGATCTAATTTATCTAAATGACCCAATTTTCTCTGGATTAACGATAATTGTGCGCCCCAAACTGTTTCGATTCTAGAGTCAAAGTACGATTACATTCTTTGTAAAAATAATAGCCTAATTACGATACTCACAAGATTAATTCGATATTTTTAGACCGGATCAATTGCAAAAATCTCGCTAATTTTCTTTCATTCTTATCTACAGACAGAATGGAGAATGATTTTCCATTATAACTATTTATATTTTTTAGAGGTAAGAGCTTGGTGTGTCATAAAAAGACAAAATATCCATATTGGAATGAAAATAGATAATTATTTTGAATTTGTTTAATGTATCTTCGATAATGATTAGACAAGTCTTCAAGTCTTGTACATGAAAAGGAGACTATTACTAATACTATTCGATCACTTACCATGAGTTTATTCTAATTTTATTTCAACTTGTTCTATTGCCAAACAAGATTATTTTTTAGTCTAAAATTACCTATAAAAAAACGTTTATAAATACAGAGAAATTAGTTGAAGAGATAGCATATACAACTATACACGTTTCAAATGATGATAAAAAAAATATTAACGGTATAAGCATTCAGATATAAAAGAAAAACGAAAATGGTGAGAATCAAAAGAGTCTTGTTATTATCACTGAATAAAGAAAAGTTTTTTTTTTCTTCATTTAATCAAAAAAATTTTATCATATCTTACTTGTACACTAGTAATATGTACAGATTGATGTAAGACAAAAAATAAAATAAATGAAGAGACAGTCAGTTCTATTCACATATAATATTCTTCACACAAAAACAACAAATAAGATAATTATAAATATTTTTGTATATGTATTTGTTCGGACGAACAAAAACGGACGGAAAAAAAACAATATTTTATCATGCGGTTTCATTATATTTTGTCATTCAAGGTTTTAATCTGTCAACATTTAGAAATATATCATGTCAAATACTGTTAAAGGGCCTATGAGCGTTCCATAGAGCTTTTTCAAGGCTTACTTTTGTTTCAATGTACGATTTCTGTACATACATACTATTAATCGATTTCAAATAAGGTTGATACGCATCATTCGTTCAACAAAAAAAAACAACAAAAAAAAGAACCTCACCACAGGAAAACCTTAAATTCGACACATTTTGATACAGTATAAACAAAAAATCAGCTGAAAAAAAAGCGTATGAAAGAATTGAATAGTTATTGTACCGTTACAGAAAGAAATATCGATAAAATAAAATTGAAAATGAAGAAAGTCGGAGTAGTACGCTTATTAGACTGACTATGTACGAAAATGATATTTGCTATACACTCAGTATACTGGCGCCAAAGTTCAAATGTTTTTGTGAAAGAAAAAACCACCGTTATTATTGCTTCAAAACCACGCTTAGTAGGAAAGAAAGACTGTCATCTACCATTTGATAAAAGTTATTAAAGTGGTATACCAAAATAACATAACTGCATATCAACGAAAAGAAAAAAATAAAGTACATGCACAGTCACGGAAAAGTGCTTTTTCGTATTCAACACACTCGATAACCCAGAAGATTTTCCATTTTTGGCGAGGCGTATTGTAAAAAGTTTAGGAAAATTTTTCGAACAGAATGGCGAAAAAGCATTTCCATGGGAAAATAATATTATTATCTGTCCAAATGAATAGTGGCCGCGGTCATTTTTTTATAACTATTTAACGGAACCAGATGAAGACCTGCGGCTTCCAGTATCTTGTAGTCAGAACCTGACAGCATCTTCTTATGTATAAATCAATTCTACCAATGAGGTCTACCACGGTGCATCTAGTCGATGTTCGAAAGGCAAGATTGTCGCTCCCTAACTTTTCATACAAGTCTCATGTTTGAAAATACGCCTAACATAGAGTTTCATCTAGTCTACATATCTGCGGAAATCCGACTGCTCCATCTACAAGCATTCGAGCAGGAGCGAACTTTTCCTGAGACACCCCAGAACCGGATTTTCTTGATATTTAGAAATTCGAAAAGGCATGGAAACACAGGTTATCGACCACGCTGAACCTCATGGCAATGGTTTTCAAAAAAGCTTCAAAAAACTAGTGAAAATCGATACTAGACAAAATAATCTATTTTTCACTATTTTATAAAAATTTTGCACGTACGACCAATTCCTTCTGTTCGGAACGGGGACAGGCGGAACAGTCATCTTTAATGATGTGACATCTATAAAGACAAAAGCAAGGTTTCTGGAGGGATACTTCAAGATCTACTTTTCGAAGCACTGAGAGTGAGGCATTGGCTAACATTAAATAGAAACGGGATAATGGAAGTTGAATTCCTTTAACAAGTTAGATCTCATTTGAGAGATAGGTACCATTTCTTCGATATATAATTTTATTTTGTCTCTATTATATTTACGAAACAATAGTCTTGACATTGAAATAAGAAATAACAATAGTAGTAACAGTCATCGGTACTGATCGGTGCGAAAGTTCAAATCATTTAAACACGCCAGACGCGTTTCCACCTCTGAAATGTCTAGACCTTTGCTAATTTAGACGGAAATTTGCAAAAGAGTCGGACTAGTGTTAATGACACATGTTCTAAGTCGCAAAGACCAGAAACTTTGCAGTAGATGCGAGAATGCTTCATCTATCACCTAGATCTATGATATAACCTGATATAAGCGTAGAATTCAGCGAAATTTATACTACTGACATATGATTAAACATATTACTAACAAGGGAAGTATCAAGTTGCAAATCGTTTTCTAGATGAAATTAAGTGAACTCTATGTAACTGATGACGCTGATTCCAAATATGAACGTCGGAATTGCCCTTGGGCTTTCGTTGACTGATTTTCTGAAAACTAGATCTTCAGAAAAGCAGGAACCAAATCCAGAAAACTTTTCTCAATCGGCATTTTTGTAGAGGACACAAAACTGTCTATGTTCCGTAAGTTTTAGTTTTTCAGAATACCATTGAATGGTGCTATGATTTTTGCAATCGTACTGCAACATTTTTTCATCAAAACCAGCATTGCCACTATTTTCGGAAATTTTCCCACGTTGTTGATTTTTAGCTTATGCAACATAGATAGTTTTGTGTCCTTTACAAAACAAAATGGCCGATTCAGAAAAGTTTTCTGGATTTAGGCCCTGCTTTTCCGAAGATCTAGTTTTTAGAAAATCGGTCAACAAAAGCCTAAAGACAACTCCGAAGTTTATAGTTCGAACCACCGTCATCAATTACATATAGTCCACTTAGTTGCATTGAAAAAACGATCTGCAACTTTGGATGTTTCCCTCGTAAGTAGGACTATCCGATATAAATATTCTGCACGTTGATTTCTACTATCTGTTTCAAAATATAAGATAGTCCAATTAGAAGTGTTAGCCACGCGACTACGGTTCATTTAAAATTATAACTTTTTCTGTTGTTATCTAGAGTAGTGTGCAAATAGAGGTGTTAGCCACGCCCTAGTCGAGACTCCCGATAAAACTCCCACGGGACTCCTGTCACTCGGTCCTGTCGGGAATCTACGGTAGTCAGATGGGACTTTCAAGGTACTCCCGTGGGACTTTAAGGACTTTCGTTGGACTCCCGCAGGACCCTAAAGTTCTCAAAGTCCCGAGCGAGTCCTCAGGAGTCCCTTGAAAGTCCCACCTGACTACCGCAGATTCTCGGCAAGACCGAGTGACAGGAGTCCCGTGGGAGTTTTGTCGGAAGTCTTGACTGATGGAGCCCGCACAGCAGGCATCCAGACAGACATTTAGTAAAAAATCGAAAGTGCGGTCTTTTAAAATCGAAATAGTGACAAATATACTTTGATAGATGGGCTATCTACTGGCGTAAAATATTTTGTTTCGAACGAAGAATTTGCGGGTTAAAAATGTTGAAGAAAAAATACCTCGTATATCCATGACCTCTATGTAAAATCAATTTTTTATTGAACTGAATTACATTTAAATTTTCGAAACGTATTATTTGGAACCAGGGCGTTTCTAGCTATCTATTGGTAAAAAGAGTTCGTCTCAGATCAAGTCGATTAGCGAAAAACACTTTTTTCCCAAACGAGGCAATTTTTCCCAGAGCTATGTTCAGTGTAAGGAGTTTTCCAAATTTTCCGAAGCTCCAAATTCGTTGCAAATTTGACAGAATGTGCATCACCATAGCCTGCATCTGTGGTGATAGCAATTTTATGCAGTTTTTCCCCTAGACCGAGATCATAATGTACAACAGATCGAGAGACAAGAAGTAACAGCAGAAAAGGTGAATAAAGAAAGAAGCAAAGGGGCAGCCGATATGTGCTCTATTAGCTGTGGCAAATATCCCCGCTAACATCTTCCTTAACCGATGTTGTTGTGTGTCCGCACACATCCGTGGATGCTCCATATCGATCGATGTTCGTCCTCGATCACTGCTGCTGTTCGTCCTTCGCTTCATCGTGGTTCCTGTCGCTGTCCTGTGAAACAATTGACGCACATTATTCGCATTATTGTTTGTTCACATTCTTGTTCTCCCCTGGTCTTGAATCCCGTTGATACTTCTCCCTTAGTGCGATTCATAGTCAATTGATGGCTTGTGCGGATATTCACTTGTGGGCAAGTGAGAATGAGAAGAAACAATGATTGACACCTCTTACGAGTTTAGTGCCATCTATAAACAGTTTACATCTGTGACCATTGATGCATCATCATCTATCTCTGTCGACAACTGATTCAAAAATTATAATGACAAAGAGAAAGATCTGTTTCAAACAATATATTTTACAATGTAGCAAACATGTTTAATACAATCAGGCAAACTTGAAAAATAACAGATATCACTTGTGAGTACCTTCGACAGCGATTTGTGTATTGGGTTGTGTTGTGATTCACTAGACCGGGTACCAATCTTCACTCTGATTGTCGAAATCCAAAGGTTGTTTTCGGTGTTGTTGTTGTTGTTGTTGTTGTTGTTGCTGATGCATTTCACCTGCAGAAACAGTAAAACAATGATCGTTACTGATGAGACCGATACACTTTGAAAAAAAAGTCGTAGATTAATAAACTACAATAAAAGAGTACTTTGGACAAAAAAACTGATCAAAAAACCCAAAAGAGTTTTTAACCGGTTTTTTAGCCCAAAAAACTAAAAAGCGTTTGTGGTCGTTTCAAAATGAAAAACTCACGGTTTTTGGGACAGTTTTTTAGACCCAAAAAGCTCTTTTATTGTAGTTTATTAATCTACGACATTTTTAAGAGTGTACATACGTACTTGGAAAATTTGTTCCAACAACCGATCGTATTCGTTCTATCAATTGATTGCATTTCGTTTCCAGATTTTCCGGACTATTGTCCGAAATTAAGTCTCGAAAATCGAGATATAAAATATCGATAATTGTGTAGCCGAGCCAATTCGTGGGCATCCAGTCGTGATCGGCATCCATCAAACATGGTATCACTGGAATTCCACGATTTTCAGCATAGAGTAGCTCCTTTTTACAATACGGTGAACTTTGATATTTCGATGTTATAAAACAGCAAATAGCCGCGGCATTTTCGATTCCGTCAGCCATGCTTCACAGAATAGAGTAGAAGACGTAAATAGCAGACAGAGAGGCCAAAATGTGCAATCTCGATCTTTATCTGGTAGTCAAATAATCTTTCATACCGCCTTCTTTGTCCATCCATACTGGAATATTTTGAGCCGTAAGACGATGATGAATTTCCAGCACAATCTTTTGAATGTCCCATCCATAGGAAAACATGATATGCTTTCCCGGTTTGAGACCAACGTTCGTCATCGAAGAGAAATAATCTTAGCGAATAAAATCTGAAGCGAATCGAATTGAAAGTCGGCTTACACAAGATGCCAAAGAAGTTTCATCGCTGAGTGAGTTCTAATCGAAAATACAATTTAACGGTATAACACTTTCTGCATTTTACTCGTCTTCGAAGTCTTACTGTCTATCATGAAAGCGATCAATGCGTACTAATATGGACGTAAATATGTTGCTTGAAACTCACATTGATGAATAACAAAATAACATGACTCAAAGCTCACATGGATGAGACATAGAATAAACACGCTGAGTGCCATAATGAAACTGTGAGTTACACATTTTCTTTTTTTCTTCGATCGCTCTGTCCATTCTTCTCCAAAGAAAATTTTCTCCTTTCAATATTTTGCTGCCACAAAGATGCAGAATGCAAATACTCAATTTTATTAAAAAAGCAATTTGTACAATTAAGCATATATTTACGTCCATATTAGTACGCATTGATCGCTTTCATGAT